GTCATCGGGAAGATAACAAAAAAGCAAGATGTTTAATTGTTTCTATCTGTAGTGCGTCATCTACTCTTTGCCTAATATTTTCAGGGAGATTTGTATAATGACTTCCTTGAAAGTCTGTAAGAAATTTATTACTCAGCTCATCTGAATGTATTTTGCCAAGACACATTTAAGATTAAATTTCATTTAACTAGGGCTACAGGTTCTGGTCTTCAGAAATCTAGTCAGCAGTAGAGATATCAAAAAAACAACAACACTCTTAACACATTTTTGTGTTCCAGATCTGGAACCTATTTATTTGACATTTTATTGCTTGTTATTTTAACTGGTTTGTGTGTGTGTGTATGTGTGTGTGTGTGGCCTAGGAGTTTAACAGCCTATACATGTGTGTTCATATAATGTATACACCTGTTTTTTTCCAGCTGAGTGCTGTTAAGATGCCACAGGTCAAATAAGAGTGTTCATACCAATTCTTGAATTAACAAGTATTTTAAAGAGGAAATGAAACGGCTTTCCTTTTCCCCCTCATATACTATCCTATAGTTCAGCCTGCATAATTTTGTACCCTGATCACTATGACTGTTTGAAGGCTTTTGTGTTGATTCAGTTTTGGCATCACCTCCCTGCATACCATAGCAGTTCCAGAAGAATAGAGGGGGAAAAAACAGGATCCTTTGGGTGTTCCACCTTTTCTCAAACTGTGAGAGGACTCGATTATTTGTGCCTGCTCAGTTTCTTATCTTTCATCTTGTTTTAAAACATGTACATGAATGATTATTTACACCATAAATTCATTTCAGATTCTTTTTTAAAATTTTCCGTGAGTTGGCAAGTTTGGGGCCCAGAAACTGAATTTAGAATCCCAGGATTTTGAGATGAAAAGTTGTTGTTAGATTTATAAGCTTAATTTTTAAATGTATCCATATTATATAACTTGACAGATGTTAATATTTTTTGTATATCTCAACTGGGAGTAATCATGACGTTGTCCTTTACCTTTGAACTTAAAGTTAAAAGATTTCTTTTGAAAGACAAAGTGTTTTATGTGTATTTGTAAAACATACAGAGTTAGAAGAGAACTCTGTAGGCCGAAAACACTTTGGAGTGTGTATATAGCAGCCTCCCTCAAACACTGCAATCCAAATAAGTTGGAATGAAAAACTGGCTGAGGATTCTGGGAGCTGTAGTTCCCACACTTTATCCAAGATCACAAATTTTCACATGATCCCAGGACATTACAACCATCATAAATATGAGACAGTTGCCAAGCATTTGAATTTTGATTACATGACCTTGGGGATGCTGCAACAGTCATAAGTGTGAAAAATGGTCATAAATCACTTTTTTTCCAGAGCTGTGGTAATTACATGAAATGTTGTAAGTCAAGGACTATCTGTGCAAGCAGTTTGCTGAGGTTTGCAAAATTGCTGAGATTCCAATACCTAATTTATGGTCAGTGTCTTAAAAATACTATCAGTTTTTCAACTTGTGCAGGAATATTCCAGAGTTTACTGAAAAATTATAATTCCTTGGATGGCTGAAAGAGCTATTTCCCTTTGACAATAAACATCCACACTTCATCATTTTGATGCCCATTTATATATTGATTCCCCAAAGGGCTAAACAGAGGAGATTTTACACTGCCACAAACATGTTTGAAGGCTACATTTGAAGCTATGAACATGCTGTTTCTCCTGGGACAGAGCTGCAAAATAATCTCCAAGTGTGTGATGAGTCACATAAGATCTGAACTTGAAAAGGCAGGGCTGAAGCTTTGGGGTTTTTTCTCTTGGTTGGGAGGTGGTGAGCAGATATTAAAAACAGGAATGATATTTTGCCTCTTGGAGGCCTCATATGCTCCTTTTTCTCCCCCCTTCTCCAAATGAGCTGAGAATTGCAATTTTGAATCTTTCTGGATCTATGCATCAGCTGACTGGGGTGTTTCAGGAGCTACAAAAAGGGCTGAAGATAGGTTTACCTTACTATTTCCTCTTTATGTCAGTTGTTGTACTCAAAACTGTGTTGCACTGTGTTATTTTTCTGTTTGACAGGGTAGATCAATTCTGGTTGGTTTTCTTTTTCTAGCAGAGTAGAAAAAAAGTTTCAGCATCCATTTTGAGATGAGATATGAGCGCATGTTTAGCATGAGCAAAGCATTTTCATTTCTTATCATCTCTCCTTTTGAGTAAAAAGAAGAAAAGTTCAAAGCAGCGAGTAAAATACTGGAAAAAAATAAGTGGGGATAAAGCTAAGATTATAGCTTTATAGAGCATAAGGCTTTCCCTTTTCATTAATCCAAGTCATAGCAGTTTTGGGAGTTGTCACTAAACGTAGGCAAAAAAGTTTATCCATTGTTTTCTAGCATGATGCTTTTAGAATCCGAGTTGGGATTACACACAGTTTTTATAGGAATCATATAGACAGAATCACATGCCATGTCCCCACTAAAATACCCTTTTAAATTGGTTTAAAAAGAAATTTACAGGTTCAGCATTATGCTGGATCTTGGATTATTCAAACAGAAGGAATAAGTGGAACAAAATAGGCATGATTGCCTATTTTTACACAAAAATGTTATTTCTGTGCTTTTGGTACCAACAGGGGATGTGAACAGAGGAAGCCATCCTCAAAAAGCACTTAGATAAATTGGAGTTGCTCCACATTGGACTGCATCCATTCCCACAGCACTGGGCAACGTCCCAACTGTATCTTGCTTTATTATTTAACTCTGAAGCAGGAATATGAAGGTTTCCAAAATGTGGATACAACCTCTAGATGTCAGTAAAGTAAAACTCGAAAGCTCAAAATCCAGTGTTTTGTTTGCTTGTTTATTTGTAATAAATGCATTCTAAAGTTTGTACACTACTATGTTGGCACAGTTACTCAGTTGCATTTGGATTCCTTTCTGGGTTCCTTTTTTTCCCCTTTAAGCTTGCTTAATCTTTTCAGCGCTTTCCCCCATTTTGTTGGATTTTACTTAGCAAAGTTTTTATGCTCAAATTCTGTTTGGGAGCAGCAATTTTCCAGCAAACTGGTTTTGTTCAGACCTTCCCCAGACAATTGCTCCTTAAACAAGGAGCAAGTGTGCATGATAGTAGTTTGTTCAGCCTTTTCCTTTTCCAAGAGGAGCTTAAAATGGATGCTAAGTCAAAAGTTAGTGTAACAAGATAAAGCAATTTTGGAATTTTAATTTGAGGTAATTCTCAATAAATAGCAAGAGCCCTCAGACTTACATACCGTTTTACAGTGCTTTACAGCCCCCTCTAAGTGATTTACAAAGTCGGCATATTGACCCCAACAATCTGGGTCTTCATTTTACCGATTTCAGAAGTATAAGCTTGAGTAAAATAAAACCAACTAAGAGCGAGGCCCTAACAAATTGAATTTGGCTCACACACTGCAGAATCTCCATACTTTTCTTCTGGGGTTTTGTGAAATGGCTTTATTTTTGGCATAATTTTAATGCCATCCAATTTTCCTAGGATACTAAGAATGCATAGAGGTTAAAACTCATTAAATAAATCCATTGTGAAGCAGAACAAATTTTTTCCTCACATTTATGGGAGGGAGAGGACTGGCCTATGCAATCTTTGACATTTCATTAAAATATCCACCAAAGATTTTTGTGAATGTTTTTTTTATTTACACACTGTATCTAGAAGCAGATACATAAATTCTTATACAATTTTTTCAAAAAATGTGCAAGAAATTACTATAATCTTTTTAACAAACCAAAACACTTTTAAAATCAATGGACTTTGGATAATTCATTCTGTTGTGTGCTTAATACAAACAGTGCACACATTATTTAAACATACAGAAAAGTGTAAACTACAGCAATCTGGATTTTAAGTATTATTTTCATGGCACTCCACCACCACTATAAAATTTCCCCCCCAATACACAGTAATACAAAATGTGATAAAAATTCCCCCTCCCACCCCATTGGCATAAAGAGTTTGGATCATTTTCCAAATACTTCAAACTTTACAGTATTTCTTTTTTAAGGAACTATCCCAACTTTTGTCAACAAATGTTTAATTCACATTTTAGAACATTTAAAGTTTATAATACTAATGATTGCTGATGTAATAATCTTTTAGCTTATTAAAAATTTCAGTTATGTGGCAGAAGTCCATTCCTTACTGGAATTCACAGTCAATATATTGCTGGCATTTTTATTTAACAATTCCAATATTTACATATTAAGAAATGCATTTCTCTGAAAAACAGCATGTTTTGTAAAATTCACCAATTAGGCTTCATAAGGAGATAAGCACCTTGATAAACAATAAAGATACCTGGGACTTTTTAAAAAAAATCCCATTCTTGGTTTTACAAGATTTTATCTCCAGAACATTGACCACAGGGTGGAGATAAGCAACACTACATTTTAATCCCTTTTTCCAGAAGATCACCTGGGTAAAATTAGAGTATGTGATCATTATTCAAAACTTATATGGAAAAAATATTTCTAAACATTCTCTGAATCTCCAGCTCTATCAAACTTCCTTTCTACCCAAGGATCTAGTACATTTAGGGGTAGTACTAAATTATCTGATAATAAATTTATTGATAATAGCTGAACCTGCATTCTCGAGCAATCCAATCTTAAAAAAACTGTTTTGTAAAAGGCAAGTACTATTTTTGCAGTTACAGATGTTAGGGAATAATATATTGAGATCTTCACTACTTTTAATTCCAATTCTACAATACATAAGATTTTCCATTGGGAAAAAAAATTCCCCACATCAAAGACCTGGATTTAGGTGAAACATCCTTTGAAGTTTATCATGATACTCTTTACAAGCTGTGATCCTTCAAGATCCTTGAAATATGAAAGCCATTGTTTTGGCTCTGTTCAGTGAATTCCTGTAAGACATTATGTCCAGTGCTGATGATCAGAAAAGGCATGAGCTGCATGTAAAAACAGTCTTATACTTGAGTCTATAAAATTTATGGATTGAGTATGTGTGTTTGCCTCATGAATAGACAATAAGAAGTATCCCTTTGAGACTATGGTGCTCACTTTTTAATTCAATATTATTTTCTAACTTATTAAAGATAACTAGGATAAGACAGATGCATCTCAGCAATACTGAAAATATCTGTTGTTTCCAACAGTTTAATCTATTAAAAATTTGGTTAATTTTTAAAGAAGGATTCTCTTATTTTTGAAATCAATCTGAATTCTTCTACCCAAGTGTGCATGTAGGCTGACTTGGCTGTTTACTTCTCTCACAATCTACAAAAATCAATCACTTTAGACTCTTTTTTTTTACTGTAGTTCTCGTAATGTTTTTGTTTGTTGAATAGAGAAATGCCACCATAAAAGCAACTTTTATTATTGTCTTATTTTTATGATTAACTTTGTAATAGTGATTTTTTTATTTTTTTGCTAATATGCTGTAACCTTTTTTAAAAAAAATTACGTTACTAATGTTTTCCAATTGCATTTATTAACTTAAACTAGACTAACATGCAGGTTATGGTATTTTTTTAATTAATCAAATTTAAGTTTACATCAATACTGTCAGAATGGACTTGTTTCTTCTCTCAACATTTCAATAGTATAAAAACTTTCATAGAATCTAAATTTCTCATTGTTACAAGAAATGTTAGGCAACTAAGGTTTTCCATCTTGAGGCTGCCCATTTTCTTATATATAAACATTTCTTCTTAAAATTTACTAAATATAAACACGTAACAGCCTATGTGATCTCCACCATGAGCAGCGCATTTGCTCAAGCGATGTAATATTTGACAGAAAAATACCATTTCGTTGCAGCACTTTTTGTAAACTGGTATTTCCATGTTTCAGTAGTTGTTCTGAATTGTCACACTGGATGAGGGAGCACTCACTAACAGAAATAGATAGAAGAACAGAAAGCAACGTATAATTATGCACGGCAAAAGATACGCGCTTTCTACAATGGCTAAACAAGCAACAGAAGGCAACTCACAATAAATTTGGGATGAAATTTTCAATCAAAAGTCATTGCAGAATTTTCCATTCTTTTTAAAAATCTAATATGCAATTTAAGAAGAGACTGGATAACAATTTGTTTAAGATAGTATAGGGTCTCCTGCTTGAGTAGGGGGTTGGGCTAGAAGATCTCCAAGGTCCCTTTCAAATGTTTTTCTGTTCTGTTCCATACCACTTATTGACGCACACAGAGAGATACAGTAGAGGTCTTAACTGGCACAATGAAGATTAGGATGTTCAAAGCAATTATCACTAGCTGTTTGTCTTATACCTTAAAGAGCTGCTGCCTAGAAGACCTAAGTGGATTTACTTCTCAAGTGTTTCTCAACCTTCTACCTAACCAATTGCTGCCCTAGCCAACCAAAGCAGAAAACAACGATAGTATTGCCTTTGCTAGGTTGTCTCTTCATCAGCTTGGAAGAACAAAATAGATCTGCTCCTACTGATGTACAATATTCCCTGAGCCAAATGCAGATGGCTCAAGGCTCATTCCTGCTGTTGGTTTTATTTGTTATTGTTCAGTGAATGAGGGATTCGTGCATGACATTGGCTGTAGTCTGGCTCTCTGGAAAATGATGGGCAGACAGGTTACAGAGGATACTAAAGAAGGACTTTCTCATTCACATGGCCATTTGTTAATATATGGTGTCTTTCCTAGTTCTATGTAATGAAAAAAAAAACTTGTTTGTTCTGTGAGGGATACGACTAGGCATGCAATACAAGAACGTATTTTAAATTTTAATGAACTGAAGATATAAAAAGATGGCAACCAATGTAGCAGCAGGTTCAGTGTCTACCATATAGCCGGAAATATGATTGGGCTATTAAAAATCTAAATATGGAATTGTAATACCATCATAGTCCCTCAAATCATTCTTCATTAAACACTGGGACTTCAAAAACTTTTTGTCATAATATACATTAGTTACTCCAGAGAACTTTCTTCATCTACCACTAACTAAACAGTCCTTTATTTGACGTATCCTAGAGACAAGGATTTTACTCTAACATGTACTTTCCTACTGTAGAAAAAAAAATCCTTTTCTTCATTAGGCGAAACATGGTACCATCATATATCATTGTGCCTTTTATATATAAAATTTGTAATCTTGCTTGGGAGTAAAAATTAAGAAACAAAAATGAAGATTTTGCATAAATATCAGAATGGCAAAGACAAGATACACACATATATAGAAAAAATTTGCCCAGGAATTTAAGAACATCTCTCTTTATATAATTTGTTTTTCAAAATCTATTATTCTGTAACTTGGTAAGAGAGCTGTTTTCCCCATCTATATCCCAAAGCAAGACAGACTTTGTCTCTGATACTCTCTTAAACAGTCTGATCTAAAAATAGTTTTTTTTAAAAAATAGAAATTTAGCATATTGACTCACACAACCCAAGATGTCAGGCCACTGCAGCACCTTCATATATTAATAGTATAAATTCATTCAGAAAAAAACACAAAACAGGTAGAAGAAGCAAGAGTATACCCCAAAATAAAGATTTCTCAAAATTTCATCACCCTTTAAATGTTTTAATAATCAGCAAAATAATCATCAGTATTCAAATGAGAAAAATGCAAACAAAAGAAAGTCACATCGCAGTGGCACAAACTAATTTCTGTAACTTTAAAACCACACTCTCAAATTGCATGAATTTATTCAGAAATTTCAGAATACAGTTTCCTACTTAAGATTTTGGTTCACAGAAACTCTTATAAACATAAGAATACTTTGCTTCCACAGTATAATGTTCATCATGGAACAATTTGCAGAAATAGTCTTTTGACCACAAATATTTTTAAACAGACTGTAATTTCTTTATAAACCTATTGGCATTTTTTTCCCTACAAAAACATACACAAAACAACACCATCAGACTTAAAGCCTACTGAAGGCAGTGGAGCCAATTAACATCAACTTTCCCCAATTTTTCATCAAAAGAGGTGAAGGCATTTATCAAGACTGGGTCCAGGCTGTAAAACAGCCTCATTTATAGGCCTTCCAATTCATTGGAAATTTCTCCTATGCAGACCCCACTAAAGTGAGAGAAAACAATATACTGAGGCTGTGGAAATCCTGTTGTTCCTGGCAGATTATCCCGTTACAAGTATCCAAAATTGTATGGATTTTCCTTTTTTTCAAATAAGAATTTGTAGAAATGAAAGTGGTAATGCACTTGAGTATTTCCTATGGTGACTATTTTGCTACTTAATGTCACTGTCTTCAATTTTAAAACGTGCATTTTTATTTAAAGAATATTTGGGGGTTAATTTAGGTTCTGTTCACTTGCCAATTAAACTAAATTATAATGATGGCAAATTAATACTGAACAATACAGGAAAGCACATTTAAAACTGAGGCCATATTCTATCAAAGTTAAGTACTTCTTAATCTTATCATTTTCCATGGGAAAAGATTATACATGTGGTTACCTCATCCAAGAAAATTAATGGAATTTAAATTCCCGTTGAGCTATTTAAGATCCAATTGTTGCAGTAATTACAGGATACAGCTCGTCCTCGACTTACGACCACAATTGGAATCAGAATTTCTGTTACTAAGCAAGGTTCTGCCCAATGTCATTATCTTTTTTGCAACGGTTATTAAGAGAATCACTGCAGTTAAGTGAACCATGTGGTCATTAACTGAATCTGGCTTCCCCCATGACTTTTCTTGTCAAAAGCTAGCTGGGTGGGTCACAAATGGTGTTCACATGACCCCAGGATGCTCCAACTGTCGTGAATACATGCCAAACAACCGAATTTTGATCATGTGACCATGGGGATGCTACGGTGGTACTAACGTCAAGGACCAGTTATAAGTCAGGATTTTCAGGGTCGTAACTTCAAAAGGCTGCTTAACAAATTGGTTGTAAGTTGAGAATTACCTGTATTTTTAAATTCAATGCTACATAATTTTTAAAAATTTCAGTTGAGACAAATCTCAGTTTTGAAATTCCCTGAAGTTTTATTTAAATCAGATTTCTATAATCCCTTCAAATATTTTTAAATGTTTAGCTTTTGTGTGAATATTATTGATGACTTCCAGTATTCATTTTACAGATATTTTTCAAAGGCTATTTTCAAATTTAAAAATGCTTAAGAATGAACAAAACAAAGCAACATCTGCAATAATGGAACTGCTTAGGAGAAAGGAAACTTTCAAAATGTACGATGCACAACTGTATTGGATCACATATTGCCTCCAACCTACAGTTATTTGTTTTTAATTAGATATTAGGGAATTGTTTTAAGCATGTATCCAAGTTCGGTACACTAGAATATTTTACCCCAAACTTTTTTTAAATTAAGAACAGAACAAAAAAAAAGACTATTTGAAAACGAAAAAATATATCCCATCAAGTTTCAATATTTTTTTTTTACTTATGGTTGAAAACACATGAAATGTGCTTCAAATGCATAAAAAATCACAGTGGATTAGCAGCAAAGGAGATAGGGAATTTAAGGACAATATTTATCATTCACATTGTGATTATTTTGCACACTGAATGAAAGATAGTTATTTTACTCTTCTAAAAAAAACCTTTTGAGACCATTGTTTTAAAAAAGAAACTCCAAATATCCATTAAATTCAAAATGCATTACTCTTCTTTATGCACAAAAATGAAATTATGGCGGCAAAAACAAAAACAAAACTAGTAATAATTAAGTTTGTAAACTGTGTATCAACCACTCTTTTATTTATTTTTGTTGTTGTTATTATTCCCAAAGTGCAAGCTGCAAATTTTCCATAAGCCTTCAGTAGTGCTTTTCTTGTAAATAATCCTTCATTTTGTTTGGCAAAGGCAGTTTCTGAATCAGATCTATTCTGGTATACTGACGTATAACAAAGCGACACAGGTACTGCAAGGAGCGCACTTGCATGAAACGAGATACTGGATTGGTCAGTCTCACTGGGTAAGTTGTAGATCCAGGTAATCGAGATCTCGAATAGCAAAATGCACCATTTTCAGAGTCCCTAATCGAGTGTTCAATTAGATCAACTATAGAAGTATGTCCTTCCACATCGGGTTGTTCATAAAAGCTAAACCTACCATTTGAATGCTCAATTCTAGTATGAAGTGTTTTACCATGAGAACGGAAACTCAGACTCAAAAGGTAACGGTCGTCAGAACTGTCTCGCACAAGAAATGAACCGTCAGGAACATTAGCTAATTTTCCCTCTGCTTCCCATCGTGTAATTGGACCCCAGTACCATCCTTGTTTTGCCAATTTTTTAAGTTCTTCTGTAAGACTTGTTACAACCATTGGGCCACTATTTTGTACAGAATCATAGACTCTTGCAACTCCTGGTGCAGAGTTAGGATCAAAATTCAAATGGCAGCGCATACTTTCAGCCACATGGACATCTGTGCCATTCAGGCTGTTAAAGTTCCTTTGGATTTGATTATTCTGTAATGGAGGTAGCAATGGTGAGAGTGGGGGAACATCATTAACTCTTGGACTTTGCAACATGATTCCTGTTGTACCAATCAATAAACCGTTTACTGCTTGGTCCACAAAGATATCCGGAGCAACTACTACGTCTTCATTCACTGAACCCTCTTCTTCATGAAATGTACTACTACCCATTTGAGAAGAAACAGTTGAAACCTCCATGGGTGAGGAACTATCCAGACAGTAACTACGTGATCCTTCCAAAGGATACATTCCCTCATCTAAAGGCACAGTGTACTGAATGTAGTCCTGAGGCATAAGTCCAATAACTACAGGCACATGTTCATCAATATGAAGATGCAAATCTCCATTCTGAGATTCTGTACTTTTGAATGCACTGTTTTGTTCATGGAACCTGCTGTCTGGCTGCAAGTCATGGAAATCTTTGCGCACACCATTCAGTGCAGGGCTTGGGCTTGAAGAGTGGACCAAGGCCTTTACTTTCACTTCCATTTTTATACATGTTTCTTCGGAGTTTGTCGGCCGGAGGGGCCATGGTGTTGGACTATAGTGGTGGTTTCGGAGGGATGTGGACCGAAGAGGTCGTTGAGCTCTTACATCTTTGAAAGTTATTGGCGCAGAAGAAGAAGAAAAAGTATCTTCATCAGCAGAGCTCATGGATGGCGTGCTGCCCTTTCCACCTTTTTGCTTCTGTTTTGCTGAAAGTCGTCTTTTTAATGTACCCATTAAACTTTCACTCTTTGATCTGTTTTTGCCACCTTTCTCATCTTCGCTGTTGATGTCACAGCTAGCCAAATCTTTACCATAACAGCTAGCAAACAAGGAGTCATCATTTCCAAAATCATTTAATGATGGCTGTGCAACTACAACAAAGTCACTGTCATCTTTGCTTTTATTTAAGTTAAAAGATTTACGAATGGTCTTCAGACTAATTTTCTTCATTATGAAATGCAGCAATTCGGGTAGGGATTTTGTTTATTCTCGAGTGTACCAGAGATCTGTCCCTAAAAAATACGAAGCCGATGCTTCCACATTGACGCGTCTTATCCAGACTCATTAACTTGCAAGAGCCATTTCCTGAAAACAGAAAAATAAACAAACAATAAATTTCATGTGGGACATGATCTGTAAAGAAATCTGAATAACTAAAATATAAACTAACAAAATCAGTAAAGCAGAGTTAATATCAACATTATTATCGATCAATAAGTGGCTAATTTATTGAGCACAGTTTATTTCATACATTATGTTAAGCTTTGTTCTGTTGGTTTATTCTTTGTATCTCATATTTTGGGTTAGGATACATTAATTGTCATTAAACTGTACATTCACATATTTCATAGCTATTCTTTTGCATCATTTTTCTTCTATTTCCATTAACTTTAATACTATTGTGCTAAAATAACCAAACTGGCAAATCTCAGTTAGTGCCTGTCCAATAAATTGAATTTAAAAATATGCTATTTCTTATTATAATCTGAAAGAAGATAACCGTTCTATGGTTCTGTGATTCATTCTGTTTCAGCTACTCATTAAATTTGGCAAGCATTTTCTGTAATCATCCCAAACTGAAGAGGCTTATGGTTAAAAGCATTAGCCTATAATTTGTTTGTATGTCCAAGCTGATAGGCATGTGGCTCTCACACAAGGCCTCTCGAAGAAAAAATGAGGCAAAGAATAAAGTCCAATAACAAAAAGAAAATGCAACTTGGTGATTGACAATTTTGCTTCCAAGAAGCAAATTATGGCACCTTACACAAGCTCTCTTTTTCATGTCCAACAGCCATGTTCTTTGTAATAATGTAGAGAAATGCAGTAATACAAACTGTAGAAAATATATTAAAGGAACACTGTACATTAATTAATACAAACCCAAACCAAATCACACTATATATCCAAAATTCTAAGACATCTATTATCCTGGCTTCAGACCCTTTTTCTATATACAGATAGTCCTCGACTTACAACAGTTTGCTTAGTCACCATTTGAAGTTATACCAGCACTAAAAAAAAGGACTTATGACTGTTTTTCACAGTTATGACCATCACATTGACATTTGGATGCTTGCCAATTGGTTCATACTTATGACGGTTGCAGTGTCCCTGGATCACGTGATCACTGTTTGTGGATCTTTTGACAAACAAAGTTGATGGGAGATTCAATTAACAACCATGTTACTAATTTAATAACTGCAGCGATTCACTTAACAGCTGTGGCAAGAAAAATCGTAAAATGGGGCAAAACCCACTTAAGAGATTTCTTACTTAGCAACATAAATGTTGTGCTCAATTGTGGTCCTAAATTGAGGGCTACCTATATAACCTTGCTAACCACAGCGTGTCCCTCCAATGTATTCCAAAACAAGATATTGAGAAGGGATTACATCATTATGAAATGTGTTATTGCTTGTAAAGAAGTAGCAGTCATGGAGATAAAAAGATTTGATTACAGTATGTAGGAAGAAGACTAATACTTTTTTTTTTTGCGCCAGGCTCCTTTTGAAAACGTCCTTCTCAAAGCTGGTATTGTGTCAGGAGAAAAAAAAAAAGTAGCTATTGATACAGCTTTCCTTCTGCATGAACAGCTTTAGGGAAAAAGGCTGACAAGTCAAGGCATGGCATGGTGTAAAAACTTACTTCCTTTTTTATTATTATCATCAACCAATTTTTAGAGTTGCCATTTCTTTTTAAAAATACAAGTCTTGTGAAACATAAATGAAACATGTCTCATGTGATCCAGTTTAACCCTGAAAAAAATCAAGAAGGTTCTGAAACGGCAGAACATTCCTGAAAAAGGAAGAACATTCGAAAAGAAAGAATAGGATATATGCAAGTGTGTAGCTCACATTAATCCTAAAGTAAAAAACCTTATTGCTGAACAATTAACTAAAATAGAGATTGATTTCAAAAGCTAAATGGGGTCAGATCCTATTAGTACTTAAACAAGATACTATCATAAAAATCAGGGTTAAGAAATTACAGAAGGAATAATTGCAGAGACACGTGATGTTTTTTTTAACAACATGTAACAACAGCAAGTCTTTTATTTATAGCTTTTCATTTAACAATGAAGTTACAATGGCCTTAGAAAAAGTGACTTATAAGCCATCCTCAAAGTTCCAACCACTGCACAGCTCCACAATCACACGATCATAATTCAATTGGGAACTAGCTCATATTTACAACAGTTGTCCCAAAGATGCTTTTTCAGGAGGCAACCAAGCAACTGGAGAAAGTCCAGTTGCCTCCTGAAAAAGCACCTTTGGGACAACCATAACCTGGATGACTGAGAATCTCTACAGACATTTACAACAGTTGCAGCATTTTGTGATTGTGGGATTGTCGTTTGCAACCTTCCCAACCAGCTTCCAATAAGCAAAGTCAATTAAAGAAAATAGTTTTCACTGAATGACATTATTTACTTAACAACCATTGTAATTCATTTAATGGTCATGGTAAAACAGTCTTAAAAATCAGGTCTGGTTACATGATGAATTGCTTAATGACTTTTATCGCTTAGTGATCGAAATTCCAATTCCAATTATGGTGTTAAGTTGGGAATTACCTCTACTCACTAAATGGAAACTGACTGCTTGAGAATAGAAGTAGATCAGTTGTGTCCTTCGTAGTGTTAATAAACTAATCTGGTAGTAATGAAAACAAATTTTAAGATCCCCAATTACTCATATTGAAGAGTTGAAGGAAGGAAGGAAGGAAGGAAGGAAGGAAGGAAGGAAGGAAGGAAGGAAGGAAGGAAG